GACATGAAAAACAGCTTCTCATAAAAATACACTCGCCATTCGGAGTCGGCGTAAAACTTTAGGTCCCTCCCCTTTGTGTGACAACATCAAGGGGACCGCCACAAATTGGAGGAAAAGTACATATGTGTAAGCGCCAAACTATTATTATTATTTTATATGAATTTTACTTCTTTACTACTGAAACATGTATATGTTTAAGTTCGTTGGGAATTTTGTGGGATAAATTTTCAAGATGTGGGTAATTGAGGGATTTTTTCCCCATTTTCGTGGGATTTTTAACAGAGAATGTCTGGCATCACTGAACGAAACGCGTTTAAGGAAAACAATCCCGAGCTTTACTCCAGAAATACTTAGCCACTTGTCCACTGGTTTCAAGTTAGCTTTTTGTAGCTAACTACAAGTTACACATTTTTTATAAATCCCGCAAAAAAGCTAACTACAAGTAAGTTTTTTTTTATCAATTGATAATTTTTTCTCTGCAGGGGATGTACATTGTTGTATTTGTTTGTAGGTGTACTGTTACAACAGTTGCCACCTTTGTTTGAATTTGATTGATGTCTCTCAAATCAGGTTTTAATGATATTTAATGCTGAAATTAATTAATTTTAAATTAGCTCACAAACATATGCTGCATTGTAAGTAAGTATGTACGTACGAAAGTGCGTAAACAAAAACAGATTGGGTTGCACAAAGAAAATAGTAAGAGAAAACTTTGCAGTAAATTGAATTAAGGGTATGTTCATAACTAAGGAGGCTAACTGTACTAAATTTTATGAAAGCGAAATTGGTGCACAGTTTGCTTAAAATAAGTACAACTTTAGAACTAGTTTCGGACTAGTTTGAAACTAGTGCTTAGCAAAAATATATACTGTGAGCCAGTGATTAGTACATTTNACTTTGCAGTAAATTGAATTAAGGGTATGTTCATAACTAAGGAGGCTAACAGTACTAAATTTTATGAAAGCGAAATTGGTGCACAGTTTGCTTAAAACAAGTACAACTTTAGAACTAGTTTCGGACTAGTTTGAAACTAGTGCTTAGCAAAAATATATACTGTGAGCCAGTGATTAGTACATTATTGCAAACATATTGATTAAAGTGCAGTCTATACTCAAACTAGACCCAAAACGGAAGTAGTTTGAAACTAGTCCTTTCACAAAACACCCTCCTTTACAAACGTGGAAAAACTATTTGTAAACTTTAGGCAGTCATTTTATTTAATTTGTAAATTATTCATTTTATTTACATAGAAATCCACAAGCGACCACAACATGAACTTGTACTTAGGTAGGTAACATATGTACATATGTACAAACATACACATATATACATACATCTACATATATGTATGAACACATTTGATTACTTGCCGTTGACAAGGCATGACATTTATAAACATATACACATATATGTAGATTTGTGTGTAATATTTTCATGCGTCTAATTGCGTTTCACTTTTGCTTTGTGTTCGTTTGTGGTTTTTCGCTTTGTTGCGGTTTTCTAGGCAATTTTCTATTGTGGCCTTTAAAGAGTTTGATTACAAAGAAATAAAGACATGCCAAACCACTAAAGTTTATGTAGATACACATACATATGCAAGTACATATGTATGTATATGCGTGACTTTCATTTATTTCGACTGGATGTGTAGGAATCATTATATAATTATCTAAATATTTATGTACACGAGAAATTACACTGAAGATGGCCCAACAGCGATATCAAATTTTCTCCAATTTAAATTTGACAAGGGATGACGCAAATTCGTTCCTAAATAATATCAATTAAATATGTTTCGTTGTTAAGAACACCTTTGTACTTGTCATACCAAAACAAAAATTTTATTTAGTTTAATTTTTCTTTAAATTACTATCTATGTATGCGCATTGGGGTGGTCCAAAAATGCATGTGAAGAAGTTAAGTTTACTTAAAGATAACTAAACTTTCCGCTTAAAACCTTAGCTACATATAGTCTTCAGTCTACATATGGGTAGTTCTTTTCCAAACAAGCAACCCTTCCTGTCCAAGCAAAATAAAATGTAGGGGCGCCATTCGAATTTAAAAACTGACAAAGAATTCTTGTCCAGCATACCTTAAACGCCCAAAAGAGTAATTTGGTCGAACTTATTTGAATATTTTTATTTTTTCCCACCATTTTTGGTTTGAAACACCTGGCAGTTTTTTTGAGGTTATAATATTTTTTTTCACAAAAAATCAGATCGCATCAAAAACTACACTTCATGAAAGACTACATAGTTCGAGTACTCAAAAGATTTTCTCTTCTACAAGCAAATTTTCCTTTTTAAATTTTTTCTGAATTTTATATACATAGTATGCGAGAAAATTCAAAAAATACAAAAAAATATATAAATTTTCATGCCATACACATACTTGAAAATAGATTTTGTTCATGTGATATATGGGAGAAACTGCGCAACACCCTTTATAAAGAAAAAAAATCTAAAAAAAATTTTTAGAGACTTGAAACTGCCACCTTATTATATTAAAATTTGTATCCCAATGGGCATCAGCACCGAATTTAGGATCTATGGGCCCATAGGCTCTTTCAGTGGTGCCGTTCCCCCTAATGCCAACACGGATATCCACCAGATTTTAGATTTTTAAAGTTGCAAACATAACCTAACCTGACAGTTAAAAATCCAGATTAGGTTTTTCTATAACATCTTCTTTTGTTTTGCGTAGTATGAGTACTAAAAGGAGTTTTTGTTTTTAATTTTCATATATGTATATTAGGGTGATCCAAGAGTGCATGTGAAAAAGCTAGGTCGGAATTTTTTTGTTCTATACCGAAGAAAATATGCCCCGTATTTTTTCGCTTAGAAATAAGAAAGGATTTACTGGTCCTTTAAAGCGCTCAAAGTTTTCTGTGTTTTTTTGTTTTTTTAATTTTCTTATGATTTTTAGATTTTGTGTTCAAATAAAAATATTTTTTTTTTGTTAATTTTGGTTTTTGATAAATTTTTTTTTCTTTTTCTAATTAAATTTTTTAGAGTTTATTGTTTTAAAAATATATTAATAAATATTTTAATAAAAATATTTTCTATATTTAATTTAATTTAAAAAAGGCGAACGGCATAACGTTACCAGATCTTTCAATTATTCTTTCGAAAGACAGTAAAGAGCTTTCAAGATAGTTTCCAGAATTGACAATTTCCTTACGAAGGACTTTTGCCTTTCGAAAGTAGTGTTGTTCCGATACCAACATGTACTCGATACCTGTACTCTTTAAAAGTATTGAAGAAAAGTTTCGATGCTACAAATGTATCGAAAAGAAGTACTGGATACTTACTTATATCGAACTCATTGTAAATACTTATTTCATGTGAAGAAAAACACAATCAGTTCGAGTAATCTCCGACCAAATTTTACCGAAAACGTAGCTGCAAGTTTGTTCAGTACTTTCGGCAAAAACCTACCGAAACAGAAGCCGTAAATCTTGCAAAATCTTAATGTTTGACTAGTTCGGGAAAGCAGTATTTGACAGTGACTTTATAAGCCAACTTAACCTGTGGCCAAAACCACAACAGAACCGAAATTCAGAATTTTCGGAAAAGCAAGTAACACTTTAACCGCGTACTCGATACCCACCTAAGCACTTGCGGAACGGATTCGAGTGAGTGAGTGGTGAGTTGAAAGACAGTTGCCAGAATTGCCCTGTTATATTGCTCTGACATAATCTTATTTGAAAAATTTCCCTTAAAATATTGTATAAGATAGTCGAAAGACAGAACATAGAGCGATAAAGCTATTTTATTCATTCACCTGCTTATTGCGCCATGTATCGGCTACAAAATTTTAGGTCCGCTTAAGTTCTCTAACAATTGAACCACTGCCACCGTTTTTAATATTTTCTTTATTTATATTTTTTATAACTAATATATATTTTTCTTATTGAAAAGTTGAATATTGACGGATTCGCTGTGTTGGAAAAATAAGCAAACACCAAATCGACGCCCAAAGCTGTATGTGGTTGGGCCTTTATACTCATAGCAAGTACAAAAGTTACCCAAAGTAAAACCTCAAATTTGTAATCGCATTGACTTTTGGCATTTTCTTTTCTACTGAAAAATGTTGCCTTCTGAGTGCCCTCTACGTGCAATTACTATGAGAAATTTTTCATGCAAAATTTTTTTTAGAAAAGAAAGGCTGTCGAAACTGCGACCCGCCGGTGGCACGCTTACTCCGTTTGCCTGCCGCCGACTCGACGAGACGAAGCATTTTCCTTTGCTTACTAAACTAAATCAGCTATTTAGTACGTTGTACTGCAATATGAATCCCCTTCGATTAGGGGAAAAGTCAAGTAAACATGTTTTGGTTAAAAAAAAAATAAAAATAAAAAATATTCCGACGAAGTGATATCTGGCTCCTTTTTTGAAGCCGGTTAAAAATTGATTGTGCTGGTTTTTGCTGTTAAATGAACTATGTTTTTACAAAAAAATTTTGTTATGTAAAATGCAAATAAATAAAATCGTATGTATGTATACATATGTATGTACTTAGTACGTAGATATGTACATAGATATGTATGTAAGTCATTACACCCTAGGCAATTTTTTATCTGGATTCCCTTTGAAGTCAAACGAGCCCTCACTTTGAATTATCTTTATTTACAGCATTCCTAAAAGCAGCAATCCGCATACAAAAGTGTCGAAACAGTAAACAAAATAATAAATGCTCACGTAACTACATATTTATGTACATACATATGTTCATATGAGCGCCAACTGTTACCTAGCAACTCCTTTGCCAAACGCTGCCTGCTGTTAATTAATGAAGCCTTATGTAAATAATAATTGAGAAATTCCATTGGGCTAAATATTTCACTTCAATAATGTCACTTAACTCAATTTTGTGCCATCGGATAGACACTCGAGCGACTAACTTCGTTTGATATACATAATTGCAAGCCTAACTTGCTTACATACATACATGTGTATGAATATACATTTGTAGATATGTGTGTTTGTACATATGTATACTCCTTTAACGTGTAACTTTAATCAACTGTATGCAATATTAACATTTCATTATGGTTATAAAAGAAAAACAACTTATATTAAAAACTTTCCGGCTTTTGCGTCGCTATTTGGGATGGGAGAATTCGATATTGTCTTACATTGGGTGAAAATGTCTCAACTGGACCTCGGATTTCAGTCTAGTTCGAATTTTTGTGTGAAAATTTGTGCATAGAGAGGTTTATAGATGTGAAAGGGATTTTGGAAATTTTTTTGAAAAATTTTAATTTTTAAAGTTTTTGAAAGCAAGTGTATTTTTAAGCAATCTTTTTTTCAAAACTCATTTTCTCTTAAAGTATTTGATTAAAGTTGATGAAATTTTTTTTTGTAATCTTAGTGAAATTAGTGCTTAAAAAAAATATTTTTATGATTTATAATTTTTTTTTTTTTATTTAAACAATATAAGTATTCAAGTTGCAAAAAAAATATGTTCTCAATGAATTTTTCCATTTCGTTTATATTTTCGAAAACTGCATTTATTGAAGAAAATATTTGTGAAAAGAAATTGTTAGATCTTTTCTGTTTTTGACTTATAGTAACATTTATATCTAAATTATAAAAATATTTTTTTAAGCTCTAATGTCACTATGCTTACAAAAAAAAATTTCATCAACTTTCGTCAAACACTTTAAGAGAAAATGAGTTTTGAAAAAAAGATTGCTTAAAAACATATTTCGCTAGCTTAGAAAGAAAAGTTGCTAAGTCCCATTTTAAAAATATTACAGGAGAGGAAAAAATCTTCCTATAGCCATTTTCTTTAACTATTTCTTAAGACTTTAAATCAAACATTTTGCGCGTTTATAGCAAAGCAAAAGTCCATAAGAATCAGAAGGATTCGATATTTATTAAAAGATGTCGTATTATTTTGGCCTTATCGGATTTGTGGTGCTTCTTTGGGACTTAGCAAATTTTCCTTTTATTGCTTATGAAGAGGAAAAAATAAAATAAGTACCTTTATAATTTTCGAAACGATGCGTATTCAATTTCCCTAGCCTCCTATATCAAAATATGAGTTTTCATAAAAAGTGGACTTAGCAACTTTTCACTCTAAGCTAGCGATTTGCTTATAAAAATTTTAAAAATTAAAAAAAAAATTTAAAAACTTTTCAAAAAAATTCTCAGAATCCCTTTCGCATCTATAAACCTTTCTACCCACAAATGTTCACGCAAAAATTCGAACTTGACTGAAATCCGAGGTCCAGTTGAGAAATTTTCACCCACATACGATTACATGCATGTATCTATAGCAAAGCAAAAGTTTATCGCATCTCGCATACTTTAAGCGAAGCAGTTCGTGCTTCCAATCCACAGGGCTTAGGCTCAAACCCTGGTTAAAGCAATATCGCAAAAAAATATAGAAAAAAGTTGTTTTCTTAACAGCGGCCGTCCCACGGCAGGCAATGGCAAACCTCCGAGTGTATTTCTGCCATGAAAAACAGCTTCTCATAAACATACAACCGCCGTTCGAAGCAGCGCGCGTAATAGCCCGAACACAATTAAAACGACGATAATAAGAGAATCTACCAGCTATCTAGCATCTTCGTTTGTTTCTGTTACAGAGATCTGGCAGACGAAAACTAAGGCTAAGTGAGAGTTTTGGCGAGTATACCCTACTTCCTACCCAAAGATCCAACTTGGAGCCATCAATGTAGACCGAATCCTCTTCCCATTCACCCCTGGGGGGGATCCTTGTGTGGAAGTGATTCTTTAGACCAGTAGGCGGAATTGTGTGTTCTAGAGTGCCGAAACCCCGTGTCACTCCACTTGATCAGCGCGTTCAATGGAATAGCATTACAGCTTGCCTATAGTTTACCACTAAAGTCCACAGGTAGTACGTGAAGCAAGGACCCTAGGGCTTTAGTCGCCGTCGTTTCTTATGGTAGATTTATCTACGGACGACCACCAAACCGTAGAACCGATGCCGTAGAACAGAATGGGACGCACAGCCGTTATGTACATCCAGCTCACAATCCCCATTTTGCCCCTGTCGCTGATTTACATGGCAGTTATAGTTAACGTTCTGTCAACAATAACGCCCAGATATCTAACTTCCTCCGAAAAAGTCAGTCTGATGCCGTTCAAGGAAGGAAGCCGTAGCTGGACAGACGTTTTGCCGGATTGACACTAAAGTCTGCTTCTTTGGACCAGGTGTCCACGACGCGTAAGGCGCCTAAGTCACATAGAACTTGGGGGGTGCTTATCAGCTGCCATCAGGGCAAGATCATCCACGTTCGCAATGACCTGGCAAACTGTACCCTGCAACCGTGACAGCAGAGTATTCACCGTTAGATTCCAAAGGACTGGAGAAAGAACACCGCATTTTGTAGTGCCGCGGTTTGCATATCTTGTTACGGATATCTTCCTCATCTCCGAATATATAGCCCTACAGCCTAACAGGCAATGAGCAAACTCGACCAGAGGGTAATCCAGACCAAAGCGAGGTAAAGCTTGAAGATCAACGTCCGAACTTGGTCCCTCCATTGTGTTCGTGGGCGCCCTTGCAATCGGTGCCTCTACCCCATCGATTCTGAACCAGAGAGAGCCTTGCTTCTTACACCAGTAAGGGAATATTTCGGAAACTAGATAGAACAATATTTTATATTAGCTATAGTGGGTAAACGACTAAACATCTGAACAGTTGGCGCCAAAAAATTTACACAGTAGGTGAGACCTTGGCGTTCGTGTCAATGTATATTAACTATTATACATATATAGGTAAGTGAATATTTCCTTCGAATTACGAGAAAAAACCCTTCAATATTCAATTACAAATCACTGCTCTGAGCTACCCATCCTTAGCAAAAATCATCTATCTTCATACGTAAATAGAAGGTTATCCAATTTTGTGGTACCTCCTCTTGTAATTCCGAAAAAAATCTGTGCTCCATTAAGAAATTGATTCAATGTTTGTTATGATTTTAATAATTGCTGATTTTTTTTTCACTTCAGTTTCCGTTCGATGCATTTTAACAAAACCAACAAAAATCAAAAGCAGCCACACCTTTGATTGCCAATTCAAAAACGATACCGCAAAATGGTAGCCAGCGCTTGCTCCTGGACGTGTGTCATGCACACACTCGCATACTTCCCTTGTGTATGTGTGTGTGTGTGTGTGTGTGTTGCTTGTATTCTTGCATATTGAATATGCAAATCAAATCAAATACAGCAGCAAGTACATCTATTAATTTTTTGGACACTTGCTGCAGAGTCAGCTTAGCTCACCCCACAGCAGTTCAGCCACTATCCACTGGCTGCTTGCTATGCACCATCCATGCTACGAGGAGTGTCTGCGAGTACTTGCAAGCAATTCGAGTTCTAATTAATTTACCAGTCAATTTTGTGGTTTTCAATTTTCATTTCTCTTCGTTGTGTGGCAAAGGAAGGGTCTCTACCCGACCGCTTTGGCAAGATAGAAACATAGAAATGAAATTTTCGACAGGTGGCGAATATCAACAATGGAGCGTTGGTGGTGGTGGTGGCGGTGTTGTTCCTTTCTGCAGTTCGCCATTGCCGAAGAAACTAAAACCACCTAAAACACAACGGACTAAAACTTACAATAACAATAACAACAACAACTATTAAAACCACTAACAGTCTTGTGTGTGTGTGTGTATGTACATTGTTGCTTACACCAAAAAGCACTTTTGTTGAGGTTTGCACAATAACAACGCCACCTCACCTCTCTTTCTCCTGTCTCATCCACAATTAGCTGCCGAAATTGTATGCCGTTTCCACTCGCTGACATTTACTTTTGTGCATTTGTGTACCTAATTGTCTGTCAGTTCGATCGTCTATCATTTACTCAGGCAGGCAGTCAGTCAGTCAGTCAGCGTTTTGATTGTCAGTTTGCTGTACGAAACCACCAAACCAATGCAATTACACAATTTTAGTTGCATTCACACACCCACACAGAGGTACTCAAATAAATAAACACACTTCTGGGCAGACATTCGTCTAAATGAGTTGGGCGCGCACCACCCAGCCACTCCGCTTGCTGCAAGTGAAATAACGACTATTAGCATACAAGGCAATCTAACACCACCAACGACATGTTCGAGGCCCCCTCCTTCTCGACCCTATTAAGCTGGCATTTCAGGGTACTATTTTATATATATATAAGGAAAATTTGAAAGTTAGCCCCTACCTGGCTACGTCCATGATTATAACTCATACTAACTGATTAATCCCACAATCCGCTTTTAAGAGCTCGGCGCTAAATGATAAGGTGAGATCAGCAACGTTTTCCAGCAGAAACTATTAGCCTTCCAACCTCATCCTAATTCGAATCTTAGTTTTTGTTGAATTCATTTTGGAAAAAACGCGCTCAACAAAGCATGTGAGTGCGGCAAGGATAATAATATGAATTTACTTATATTTCCAAAAATTGTATTGCCTGTTGTGGTTTTCACTATGTAAGCAATTATCCAAAATTCTCCTGAGTCCGATGGAATGGTTCTTAGCAAGTAATCCCGGTATTTTCGGCCCTTGTAATTTGAACTGATGGCAATAATAGAAATTCCTTTTTTAACCAGTGTTTAGTTTTATTGACTACATTTCTTTTTTTATTTAATATTAATTAAATTTATTAAACAATTTATATTGAGGTCGAGGCCGTTTTAAATGAAAATTTTTATTGTGGAAAAGCAACAATAATTTGAAAAAATGGTAGAAGTGATAGCTATTTCGGAAATCACCACATTTCCTCATCAGACTTCTTTCAGTAGGATTCGAACCGACGATCCCACTGACTCAGCCAGTTGCCTATGCACCGTGCTAAGTACGCCTTGTAAATTATCGTTTGCTTTTTTCCACTATTTTCATTTTTGTTATGCCAACACAATCAAGCGCAGCTATTCCGCTGCAATTCACTTGATCATGTGTTGATTGTTATAAAGGCCAAAAAAATAACAAAAACAATTAATTAAATTTAATATTTTGTTATAAGTGTCTAGCTCATTATTGAGCACAAATATCAATATATTCGCGAAACCATGGGCCAAATATAGTAAAATTGCATTTTTAGTTTTTCGCTCTGACGGTGGTAATTCAAAATTATTTAAAAAATTTAGTGAAATGTGCTTAGAGAAGAAGTATGGGCATCAAATTAAAAAGGAAATTCTGTAGAATTTAAACAGATTCAATTTTTCGGGGCATAAGTACTGGTAAGTATTGAAAATGTTCTCTTAAAGTTTTATCCTTGAAATTTCGCAATATTTGTTTTTGGAAAAATTATATGTTAAGAACTTATATAAACCAGATAAAATCCTCGAATTTTTTAAATTCTAACAAAATTTCCTCTTTCATTTGGTACACATATTTTTATTCTACATTGCATTGAATTTTTTAAATAATTTTTGGAACTAATCATAACTTTGAAATTAAAATTGAAAAAACTAACATCTATCTTATTTATAGGGATGTTTTTTTAAGAATGAACTATAACAAACTAACCAAAATTAAATAACAGCAAATATAATATCACTGGTTTACAGCAAAAATGTTCTATGGATGCCACTATCCAATTAACGTGTAGAAAGAATTCCTTGATGATTCCGAAAAGCGAGATAATTTTATTTTCTATGGATAATTTTTCGAGATACTTGTAATTTACCCTTATTCAGCTTTAAAAAATAGTGGTTTCACTTAATCACGTATATCTTACGAACCAATTGAACAATCGTAATACGAGATACGGGAAATGAAAGCAAATAAAATTCTCCATAAAACGTATGTACATCACATAAACATCACTTTTCGACAGCCCTGATAGTTTCTGAGTAATTAAATAATCCTTTCTGACGCCTCTCTCTTCGATGCGAATGCTCTACCTACTCAGGTAACACTTTTTCGTGCTCATATTTCATACAAAAAATCCTTGCGCATTTTCATTTGACCAGTCATTATTTTCTTATTTGTCTATCGATTTTCTTCATTGGTAGCTTAGTTTCTTTTCTAAAAAAAGGCTTTAAGTTCAAAATATTTACACAGAAACTGTTTTGACTTTTTCCCCTGTTAAAGTTTGAATTTTTTGTGTTTTTCCAACAAAAAAAATAACTGTGCACATACTAACGCATAATGGAACCAGTGTAAAATAACGCCTTATTTAGTTAAGAAATATAAATTTTGTGTACTGCAATCTAAATCTATTTTAATTAAAGACTATTTTTTATCAAAAAATAATGTGATTTTAACCTAAAAAAATTTGGAAAGTTGCCTTTTAAAATTTTTTTTTTGTGGAAAAGTCGGTTTTTGCAATTCAAATAAAATACGAAGTACTCATAAATTATTAAAATATTTGATTTAGTTGAGAAATTTTAAAATGCTGCTGTGCAGTGTCCGCAAGTCCGAAATTTCAGACTTTTAGCATGTTTCCGTAGAGTTTATGCCGCAAATCCTGACATTCGGACCATTCGGGTGCTTATGTCGATTTGGCGTAAATTCGAAATTATTTTTTGTATGGAAGGAAAGAAAATGTGTCATGC